TTAAAGCGCAAAATTGTGCAAGTAGTCCAAACTAAACCGTTCTTGAGATGCAGAAATGTTGTCACACACACAAAAATCAGACGATTGTGCCTCCAAACAAATTGCACTTACAAATGCTTGTGACATAAATGATGAAAATAGTAACTGCAAAGTTGAGACTGAACAGTGTTTCAGTTAAAGTGATAAGCTAGCCATTCAGCTGACTCATTGGTGATTGCAATGATTGCAGGTTTCATTATAGAAGAATATCAAGGAGAAGACAGATGGCAGGGAGTCAGAAACGGGGGATGGAAATGCAAGATATTGAGGACAACTTATGAGCCCAGGCGTCAGGTGTGAACAACAACAATAACTGGGCTGTATTTAGGTGTACAGATCACATGACCATCAAAAGAGCAGTGTAGGAATGAGAGAAGATCAACAGGGGAGCACACAAAGAGGTTTATGGACACAAACTGGGAGAGGTGGCATGCTCAGCTGATCAGTAGAATACCACACTAGACCCTGTTGTGGGGGCGAAGCTTGGGTCCAATGTACCCTCTAATTTTTCATGTGTCTGAGCGAACACACAAACTCTCTGAGCGGTCCCTTGGACCACTGTGAGCAACAGCAGGCGTGTGCACTGTGGTCACGTCAGCATTGAATCCATCCAAGTTACATGGTTTATTAAAATAATCAAATTACAACATTTAAATTTATGTTAGACTTTTTTTTAATTAACTCCTTTAGCCCACTTACAACAAAAATTCAAAAAAAAATCTTGTTCATGACCTGTGTAGTATGTTAACACTATTGGAAGTAAAAATAACTTGAACTCCAATTTTGAAAACACAACTTTCTTTTTAAAAAAAAAAAAGCAAAAAAAAAAAGCAAAAAAAAAAAGCTCTGACTTGTATTATGAGTATGAGTCTGTGGTCTGGGAGAGAGTCCTGTAACTCTCTGTCTGCAAAATACAGTATATAATGACCAATGTTGGGCAATTAATTATATAATTACGTCTTCAAAAAAGTAACTGATCTATGCAAACAAAGTTTTTTGCAGCTGTTTACTTAAAATGCAGCCAAGCCGTTTTTTTAAATAAACATTTCAAACTATTTACAGAACAATCAGCTGTTCTGCATCAAATTTGATGCCACACAAATTATTTGTGCCACTCCAAAAATAATTTCAAATCAAAATCAAATCAAATCACTTTTATTGTCACATCACATGTGCAGGTACATTGGTACAGCACATGTGAGTGAAAT